ATTGTTTTAACCCCCTTGATCCCTTTTCTCTCCCAGCTGAGGTCTCTGGTACGTCGAGACATCATGATCAAGGCTTCGATTAGCTCTGGGAAGGTGACTCTCTTCCACCAGGATCCATGGAGTGGAGTCACCTATCGGATCCCCGCACTGCTGTATATCCCCACAGACACGCTCCTGGCGTTCGCGGAGAAACGCTCCTCTCCCAAGGACGTGGATGCTGAGTACCTAGTACTGAGACGAGGTCGGAAGACAGGGACTTCGGTTGAGGTGATTCCTTGTGCATTGTTTCCCTGCAGACCCCTCTCGCTTGCTGCCCAGCCCGTATGGGATGGTCATTGTGATGTACTGAGGAGTAGGCCCCGCTCACTTACCCCTCTGACCTACCTGTTCTCGCCCCGTCTCTCCTGCTGCAGTGGGGGCCCAGGGAGTGCTTGATGAACGCAGTGTTACCGGGTCACCGCACAATGAACCCCTGCCCGGTGTACGAGCGGAAGAGTCAGACTGTTTTCCTGTTCTTCATCTGCGTGAGGAACCATGTCACAGAGCAATGCCAGATCTTGACCGGGCAGAACGCCGCCCGGCTGTGCTACGTCCGAAGCAAAGATGCCGGCCAGACCTGGAGCTCGTTAACGGACTTGACGGAGCAGGTGATTGGGGAAGACTTGAAGGACTGGGCCACATTTGCGGTGGGGCCGGGGCACGGGGTGCAGCTCAGCTCCGGGCGGCTGGTGATCCCGGCTTATACCTACCACATTACCGCTCGCTGCTGCCGCCTGCCACTGCCCTGCTGGACCCTGCCCCGGTCCTTGGTCTTTTATAGTGACGACGGCGGGCAGCGCTGGCACAAGGGTGAGCTGATTAAGGGCATGAAGACGGGGGAGTGCCAGGTGGCCGAGGTGGTGTGCCAGGCCTGCGACCCCGTGTTGTACTGCAATGCCCGCACCCCCTGCCGGTGCCGGGCAGCGGCGCTCAGCACAGACCAGGGGCTGACATTCAAATGCCACTCCTCATGCAAGCAGCTGTGCGAGCACAGCTGTCAGGGCAGCGTGGTGAGCTTCACGCCGACAGCAGGGCTTCTGGGGGCGGATGGCGCAGAAGTGCCAGACGCCCCAGCCCCCGAGACGACCTGCCTGTTGAACAGTGGGAATGCCCCCTCCACCATCCGCAGAAGCACCGTGTCATGGCTGCTTTACTCCCACCCGACAGGTAAATGCAAGCAGGTCGACCTGGGCATCCACCTCAACCAGTCCCCGTTGAACGAGGCCAAGTGGGAACACCCCTGGCTCCTGTACAAAGGGCCGTGTGGTTACTCGGACCTGGCCGTGTGCCAGGAGGTGCCAGCGCCGCTCTTGTTTGGCTGCCTGTTTGAGTGCGGGGTGAATCACGCGTGTGAGGAGATCGCCTTCCAGCTCTTCTGCTTTGAGGATCCTCAGAGCTAAAATCCGACTAGCATGTCCTCCGGGGGAGTAAGCACCCACCCCCCCCGCATCGGAGATTCTCACCCCCATGAGGCCTGGGCTTCCAAAAGCAGCCTCTTCTTTTGGGTGTCTCTTCTTTGGGGTCCGGGATTTCCTACAGCCTGGTTTGCAGAAGACTTCCTAGGGCAGGGGTAGGCAAACTACGGCCCGTGGGCTGGATTCGGCCCGCAAGCCGTTAAGACAGGCCACAAAGTCCCACTTGGGAACGGGGTCTGGGGATTGCTCCAGTTCGGTGGTCCAACCGGGGCGCCGGGTCGGGGGCCGCACCACGCGGGAGCCGTAGCATGGCCCCGCTCCAGGGTACATGGTCGGGGACCGCACCACATAGCTCCCAGAAGCAGCCGCATGGTCCCACTCTGAGGGTTGGGGGTCCCTCCATGCGTAGAAGCTGGAGAAGGGACATGCCACTGCTTCTGGGAGCTGCTTGAGGTAAGCGCTGCTCGGAGCCTGCACCCCTGAACCCCTCCCCATGCCCAACCCCCTGCGCCAGCCCTGATCCCCTTCCCGCACTCCAAACCCCTCAATCCCACACAGAGCCCCCTCCTGCACCCCAAACCTCTCATCCCCAGCCCCATCCCAGAGCCTGCACCCCCAGCCAGAACCTGCACCCCTTCCCACACTCCAACCCCAATGTTGTGAGCGTTCATGGCCTGCCATACAATTTCTATTGCCTGATGTGGCCCTCAGGCCAAAAAGTTTGCCCACCCCTGTCCTAGGGCCTGGTTTGCAGAGGAGCGAAGCATCCGTCAGTCCATCTGAGATTGAGAACTTGGCCACAGCCCAGGCAGCCGTGCCAGCCTCTCCATTGCCATCCTACTGATGTACCACCACCCTGAGCCAGATGCACCACCGCCAGGGGCCAAAACGCCTGCTGGGGTAAATCAGCTCCCCCATCCCCAACTCAGCCCCGGACCTGCTGCAG